ATGGTTACACCACTAGACTCCCACATAGCCGACTGTAGTTCAGGTCCTGAACCTGGCGGCTTAAAACTCAGGCCAGGTGAGTGTGCGTTTGTGCCTAAAATCCTGAGAAGAGAATAGAGAAGGGATTACGGCATGGCCACCCCAGCCCCTTCCTCGAAAGATTTCTTGCTTTTGTCTCTCTGTCTCTCTGGTGACCGCACACGTCCTATAGCAAAAATTTTTCTTAAAATAAAAAAAGGAAGAGAAAGAAGAAAAGGGCCAGCAGATGGTGTGGTGGTTAAGGCATTGGATTCCCACATGGTCGACCACAATTTGAGTCCTAGACCCAGCAGTTTGAAAATCATGCCAGGCATGTGTGTGTTAAGTACCCAAAGTGTGCCCAAAATCTCGAGAAGAGAAGGGACTGAGGCATGGCCTTTCCTGCTGTGGGAATTATTTCTCTCTCTCCATCTCTCTGGTAAGCGCATGTGCCGGATGGCAAAAAAAAAAAAAAAATAGGAAAAACTATGTATAGATTTCCATTTTTTTGCACCAAAATAAACTTGTGATCTAATTCCATTTTTCCACAAACTTTTGGAAATCCCTTCATACTAGTTGTCTTCCCCTGCAATCAGAGAATTATAAAATGAGTTTATAGATCTGGTCACAAATGATCTCCTTTGACAGCTTTTTTCCTGGCATGTATTCTTGGTTTGCCATGTTTCCTGTTCGTTTACTCCTTTATTTATTTATTTTATTTATTTTTTTTTGTAGAGGTTTTTGCTATAGGGCGCATGCGCTCGCCAGGCAGACAGAGAGAAACACAAAGACAGAAAACGAGAAATCACCCCCCGGGAGGATGGTCACGCCGCAATCCCTTCTCCTCCATTCTCCTCTCGGGATCTTGGGCACGCACGCACATGTGCCCGGCGTGAGTTTTAAGTCACCGGGTCTGGGACGTGAACCACCGTTGACTACGTGGGAGTCCAGCGACATAGCCATTATGCTACCTGCTGGTTCCCAACTCCTTTATTTCTCCTGGAGCATCTTTGACTAGATGCTGTGCGCTTCCTCTTTCAGAGAGGCAGACCTTCGCGGATCAGATTTTTGTAGACGCCACACGTGGAGATGGGGCCAGGAGGTACTTTAGCAGCATAGGATCCAGTTTCCCTGGATCCTGGAAACTTCACAGGCTTGTGGGAGTGATTGGAAATGCAGACGAGATCTGCAGTTGTAGGATTCTCCCGACTCAGAGCCCTCGCGCTCTGCCTCACAAACACACTGCTTCCTGCACAGATGGCGGGTGGGTGGTTTCTCCTTCAGCTTCTGTTTCCCCAAGGTGCCAGAGGCAGCTCCCACTGCCAGACCACATACCCTGTCCCATTGCTCCTGCTGAGGTGTCACTGGTGCTTTCCTGCAGTGGATACAGGGAGGGCCTGTCCTGCTGGGGGGCTCTGCCAGCTTCATCCCAGACCCGCAGCCACAGGTGTCTTCTCCAGGTGCTTTCTCACACCGCTTTGATCTCCACTGCTTTTGGCAGCCCTTTACCGAGTTGGCAGTCTTTCCTTAAAGTTGTGGCTCGAGTTACAAATGTGTTCTAGTTTTGCTGATGAGGGAGTATGTTTCTATTTCTCTTTTGCCTTGCTTTTGGGTGATTTTAGTTATGAAAAGGAGTCACTTCAGCTATATTAAAACTGTCTAGTGTTGCAAATTTTTATGTGTTCTGGTATCCCCTCACATCACAAGCTAGCTCTCTGAATAGGGTTGCATCAGCTGAAGCTGAGGTCTGCAAAGAAAGATACTGGAGTTGAAAGTAAAAGGGGAAGATTTAGGGGAAAAGAAGTTTTTTTTTTTTTTTTTTATTTTCTTTTTTATTTTTGCTATAGGGTGTGTGTGCTCGCCAGAAAGATAGAGACAGAGAGACAGAAAGACAGAAAGTGAGAAATCACTGCCCAGGGGGGATGATCACGCTGCAATCCTTTCTCCTCCGTTCTACTCTCGGGATCTTGGGCACGCATGTACATGCACCTGGTGTGAGTTTAAACCACTGAGTCTGGGACTCAAACTGTGGTCGACTACATGGGAGTCCAGCGCCATAGCCATTACACCCACAGCTGGTCCTGAAATTATTTATTTATTTATTTTTGGAAAGGCCCTGGGCCAGCAGGTGGTGTGGTGGTTAAGATGCTAGATGCCCACATGACTGACCATGGTTCAAGGCCCAGATCCATCCTTGTAACTCCCGCTGGACATATGTGTGTCCAAAATCCCAGGAAGAGAGTAGGGAAGGGATTGTAGTGTGGCCATCCTCTTGGGGGGGTGTGATCTCTCACTCTCCTCTCACTGTTTCTCTCTGGTAAGCACACGTACCTTCTGGCAAAAACCTTAAAAACAAAACACAGTGAGCCTGTCTGTGCTGTGAGGGTCCTCTCCTTCTCTGCCTGAACTTTGGCTGGGGGTGTGCCACTGTTGGAGAGGGAAGTTGAGGCTAGACAGTGAAGGACATGAACAACGGCCACTGTCACTTGTCTGTCTCAGAGGAAGCTGTCCTAAGCCTACCATCTCTCAGGCCGTGGAGGGGAGGGTCCATGCCTCTGTTCTGGACAGGCTGCAGGGGTCAGCCCTCCACCCTCCTCATGCCCAGGGCCCAGTACGCACCCTAGGTTTAGGCTGGTCTTTCAGCAATGGCGCCAGCCTTCTCCATGAAAACCAGGATCCTGCCTCAGGGGAGGCGGTCTGGTTAAACGATGCTCATGGTGTCCATGTGCCTGAAGGAAGCTCACCCATCCAAAAGGAAGGGCCCCCTGTGGGGTGCCCAGAGCCAGAGCCAGAGCCAGAGCCAGAGCCAGAGCGGAAAACCTGGCTGCACTCCCAGCCTGGCCTTTTATGTTACTGTCTTTCAGATTCTCACACCCCTGGAGGGAGGCGTTTTATCCCCATTTTACAGATGAGAAAACTAGAGTCTCGGAGAGACCTTCCTGTAGACACACCATTAAGAGATGGAGAGAGGGGTTCAGCTGCAGTTCTGCCTGGTGTCAGGGCCTGGACCCCAGCTCTCTTCTCCCTCCCTCGAGCCCCACCTGTCGTCCCAACGAGCCCCCACTGCATCCTTCCACGGCTGCCCCGTGTCCACATCTCTGGGTGACCTGTTGGACTCTTGCACCGTGCCTTGCTTCTCATGCTTGGCTACATTTTAAGCTGCAATTTTGGGTCCCCAAGAACCGCCACTGTTTGGAACCAAGGGACCGTCCCCCACATCGGCAGCCCCTCCACTCTGGACACTTATGTCCTCCCAGCCTCAGCACAGGGCTTATCCCTTAAGATCAATTGGGTCTCGGTTCTCGTCCAGGCTCTGGGTCTTGGGGAAGTCACTTTTCTGGGCTGGGTCCTTATTTCTACAATCAGAGGAGCAGTGATTGCCCTAAAGGCAGAGCACAGGCTCTGGATGATATCCTTGGTTTGAAACTTGGCGGGATCACTTATTGGCTGCGGGACTTTGACTAGTTATCCCCTCTGTGCTTCAGCGTCCACAGCTGTGAAGTGCGAACAATCACATCTGTTTTACAAATGACACTAGCTAATACGTGTGAATCGTCTAGGACAGTGCCTGGCATATAGTGGACTGGTGCCAGGCAGTATATGAGTCCTGGCGACGCCAGGGCTCTGCCAAGGCCTGGCATCACCAGGGAAGAACCCGCTGTCCACGCTGCAGTAATAACCCCGCCCTCTGCTTCCTTCCAGGAGCTTGGGCCCCTGCCCCAGCCCGGCAGAAGCTGTGGAGGTCAACCGCCCGGAAGCCTGGTTCTCAGCCCAGCGGCCCACCCCTGGCTACAGGGGGGTGGAGGCGCCCACGAGGTAGCGGTGGCCTGCAGCGGCCCCCTCCCTGCAGCAAACCATGGCACAGAAGCTCTCGGGGAGCCTCAAGTCGGTGGAAGTGCGAGAGCCAGCGCTGCGGCCGGCCAAGCGGGGGCGCGGGCGGCAGGCCCCGGGCGCCCCGCGCGCCTGGACCAGCTGCTGGACATGCCGGCGGCGGGAATGGCTGTGCAGCTGCGGCACGCGTGGAACCCGGAGGACCGTTCTCTCAATGTCTTTGTCAAGGACGACGACCGGCTCACCTTCCACCGGCACCCGGTGGCCCAGAGCACTGACGGCATCCGCGGCAAGGTGGGCCACGCCCGCGGCCTGCACGCCTGGCAGATCCACTGGCCGGCTCGGCAGCGCGGCACCCACGCGGTAGTCGGCGTGGCCACGACTCGGGCGCCCCTGCACTCGGTGGGCTACACGGCCCTGGTGGGCAGTGACTCTGAGTCCTGGGGCTGGGACCTGGGCCGCAGCCGCCTCTACCATGACGGTAAGAACCGGCCCGGGGTGGCCTACCCCGCCTTCCTGGGGCCCGATGAGGCCTTTGCGCTGCCTGACTCGCTGCTGGTGGTGCTGGACATGGATGAGGGCACGCTGAGCTTCATCGTGGACGGCCAGTACCTGGGTGTGGCCTTCCGTGGCCTCAAGGGCAAGAAGCTGTACCCGGTGGTGAGCGCCGTCTGGGGTCACTGCGAGGTCACCATGCGCTACATCAATGGCCTTGACCGTGAGTGCATCCGCCTGTCCCTGGGGTGCTGGGAGGCGCCTGTCCCTGGGGTGCTGGGAGGCCACCTGTCCCTGGGGTGCTGGGAGGCCACTTGTCCCTGGGGTGCTGGGAGGCCACCTGTCCCTGGGCTGCTGGGAGGCACCTGTCCCTGGGGTGCTGGGGAGGCTGCGCCCTCCTTTAGCAGTTGGGATGATCCTGTAGTTAGGGTTGTAGTTAGGTAAGGAGTGTGAATCCTGACTCCTTCCTTGGCTTGGTGATTTGGGGCCATGCCTCAGTTTCCCCATCAGCAAAAATAGCACAATGACAGTCTCCTCAGGATCCTTGTGGGGATAAAATAAGATCATGCACAGGGAGTGCCTAGAACAGCGACTGGCACCTGAGAGGGCTTGGCGTGTTGATGCTCATTAGAAATCTTTTTGTCTAGAGTAATACAAAATGACCTACGCCGGTCACAGCAGGAAAGTGACAAGTAGAAGGCAGTCCCTAGACTTGAATGTCAGGCAGGCACATTGCTGATAAGTAACCACAGTTCGTTATTGACCACCTACTGTGTGCAGGGTCTGCACAGCCACGTTCCAGCTCTGACTGGTAAGCTGTCTGTAAATGGGGCAACTCCCTGCCATCTCCCCCTCCACTACTTGGCGAGACTAGGGTTGTGGGATCTTCTGATTTTTCCAAGAGAACCCCAAAAATCTAGACTGTGTGAACTGTCCTGATTTTTAAAGTTGGCACCGGCTAAAAACTATCTGGGCAGACAAAATACCCTTGCGGGCCACAAACAAGCCCACAGGCTGCTGGGTTTGACCCATTAGTGACAACATTGAGGCCTCCTCTCACTTGGTATGTGTCATCATCCTGTGAAGCAGTTAAAAAATCGTAGTAACAAACGTCATTTTTGGTTTCAGGGAGAGAGACACTCAGGTTTCAGGGAGACAGAACAATATCTACAAGACCACGGGGTGGCAGGCCACAGAAACATGGCTGGCGTGTTCCACTCTTTGGGAGAATTGGCAACGTTCTTGGTCGTGCTTCATTTTCCTGGTTGTGGGGAACAGCAAAATGTTGTTCTGTTTTCTGTGTTTTACTGGTTAAATCCAAGAGTTGATGAGTATAACTTGAAAAGGGTTCTTTTAGTCACCATGGTTCTTTGTGGAAAAGTGTAAGGAACCCATGGTTAAAAACATGGTGACCAGGCAAACCCCAGGGGTGAGAAAGCCAACAGCCACAATGCTCTTTTTTAATGGAGATGGAAAATTCACTGGCTGGAATTCATTGCTGGACTAAAAGCGTGGTCTTGGTGTGCCTTGGTCTGAGGCATTTTATTTCCAGCTACAACGCCAAAGCTCAGTGCTTTTGTCTTTGGGGAGTCACTCTAATTCTGTAAGACTCACTTTACTTACCTGTAAAACAAGATGTTGGGTCCCTTTCCTAGCTTCTGTGAGATCCTGTGTGATGGCACAATAATCCAATATGGTGGCTAAGATGAAAGGACATTGACACCCACTGGGAGCTCCCAGAGCCAACAGTTAGGTCCCTAAAGTGGCTTCCTCTTGACTATTGATTCACACCAGCTTGGTTTTCAGGAACAAAGCTACGGTGTTATTAACAAGGTCACACACACTCAGTAGCCCCCTTTGCATAGGAATTTCTATAGGTTAGGAATTTCTCCTTGGTGTGCTGTTTGGCAGGCTGGGGAGGGGAGGCAATTAGGTTCAAGGCACTTTGAGCTCATGAGTCCTTCAAATGATGGGAGGAGCTTGGTGGGATTGAAACTTGGCGTGTTCCATCCTCCTCCCTACTGGTAGTGGTTTTTCAGACTGGCTGAATCTGGAAGGCAGGAAAAGCCATGATGTCCCGTGGCATCTTCCAGCTCGTGACAGGGTTGGCCTGCTCTCCAGGAAGGAGTTCTCTATCTCAGATGGACATGTGGTTGCAGAAGGGGGCACTCATCTCTGGGGTCGACAGACTTATCTGTGGTTGGCTGGGACAGGCTACAATGGAGTCTCACAGAGGCAGCTGGGAAGGGACTGTGTGGTGCCCGTAGCCAGTGACCTGAACTGAAGTCCACCATGGGTCCCTGGGCACTGGGGGTCATTTGGCCCTATAGAGTCCCTGGGCATCGAAGGTGACCCAAGGTGGAAAGAACTCTAGGTCAGTGTTGGTTGTGGACATGGTGACAGGTCTCCAAACCCAGACCCAACCAGGGTGGAGAGGACTGGAGTTGGAGACACGCTCAGAAAGGGAAAAGCAGGTCTGCTCTTGGGGTTGCTTCCTGACAAGATCATGGCAGGGGAGAACTCTGCCTGGGACTCCTCGCAGACCCGAGCTGGACTGTGGCCCCAGCACCCAGCAGAAGGCCAGGTGGTTACCTCCGCTCCCTGAACCTCAGCATTCTCCTGTGTAACGTGGGAGTGATGCAAGCCACCAGCACCGAGCAGACACGCAGCAGTTGGCACCCACTGCTTTGGCCAGCTGGGTAGCTGGGGCAGGCTCTGGCGTTCACCTATGGGTTTGAGTAAAAGTGGTCTTAAAAGAGGCTTCTTCTCTGATAAAACTAAGTTAATGAATGTTGTTTTCTCAGCTTTTGGATTTTTATGGCTGAGAAACAAGCTGTAGAAAGGACATAATGCATTTAATTCTGAACCTTGTATTTGTTGAGGACAAGAGTTCCTTTTTTTTTTTTTTCCATATAGTTACTCAGTCGTGAAAGCACAACATTGGCTGAAAAGACCTTGCTTTTTGCATTGAACTGCTTTAGTGCTTTGTCAAACTTCAATTAAGCATAAAAGTTGTATCTATGGGATGGTCACGCCGCAATCCCTTCTCCTCCATTCTCCTCTCGGGATCTTGGGCACGCACGCACACGCGCCCGGCGTGAGTTTTAAGCCACCGGGTCCGGGACACGAACCGCGGTCAACTACGTGGGAGTCCAGCGACATAGCCATTACGCTAACTGCTGGTTCCCAAGAGTTCCTTTTTTTAAAAAAAGATTTATTTAATTTTATCATTATTATTTTTTTTAAAGACACAGAGAGGGAAAGTGAGAAAGCAAGCCACCTGGTCCGGGACTTGAACCGTGCTGGCCTCGTGTGAGCTCTGCGCCCCAACCACCATGCTCCCACTGGCTCCATAGCAGGGTAAGAGTCTCTGAAGTATGACTCTGAAGCATGACTTCCTGTTGCAAATGGGTTACATTGTCCAACCTTCAAGTGAAGGGGTTCTTCTGCCACAGCATGGAGTGAAAAGCTCAAGTCTCAGAGTTTCCAGGGCAGAGCTGAGCTGCCAGGTGCCCAGTCTGAGTGAGCCGAGAAGCGAGAATGAGGCCAGTGGACAGGCGGGCTGTCCCGGATTGCCCAGAGTTTCAGGAGAAACAATGGCAATACAGTTGCCCCAGTTATGTAAGGCTATGTCTATGCTGGGCTCCATTCTAACGCATTACGAATATTAACTCACTTCATCCTTGTAACAACTAAGTTAATCCTGTACTGTCAGCTTCAGTTCATGATGCAGATGAGGCACAGAGAGCTTGAGTACATCGCTTAAGGTCACACAGCTACTAACTGAGGCAGGTTGGGTTGAGGCGGACTAGCCCTATTCATGGGCACCTGATGGAGAATTTCCAGAAAAAGGCAGGGGAGGTCCTTCCCATCCCAATCCCCGTGTAAACTACGCCAGACCGTTGCCTTCAGCAGGGTTTGGGCAAGGCTCTGAGATGCTGTCCCTGTCACTTTCCCTCCTCCCTCCACTTCATCTCCAGCCTTCAAAGCTCCCGGCTCAACACCGAGCTCTGCGGGGAGTTCTGTAAAGCTAACTTGTGTAAAGACAGTCCCAGCGGTGGCATGAATCAGGCAGGCTTGATCACAGACAGAGACATGTTCCCGAAAATGTCCTGATGACTGTGGGGTTCAGCCCCTGGGGCGGGCCAGGCCTTTGGAATCTGCTCTGGGCTGCCTTCCGAAATGGCTCCCTGTCTCCTTATGCCTGCCGGCGGCCAGGGGGCTGACAGAATGGGGCTCTGGGGTGGTGGCTGGCATGTGAACGACACAGGAAGGGGAGAAGCAGCCTCGGGGTCTGAGCAGCTTTGATTTTGGAGAGTTAATAATGACACGTCTTGGGGCCAGCAGATGGCATAATGATTATGTCGCTAGACTCCCACGTAGTCAACCACGGTTCGAGTCCTGGACCCAGCGACTTAAACCTCACGCCGGGTGCATGTGCGTGCATCCCTAAAATCCTGAGAGGAGAATGGAGGAGAAGGGATTGCAGCGAGGCCATCCTCCTGGCCAATGATTTCTCGCTTTCTGTCTCTCTGTTTCTCTCTGTCTCTCTGGCGAATGCACGCGCCCTGTAGCAAACATCTCGCTTTAAAAAAGTTAAAATAATGACACTTCCTGTTGCATACCACCTGTGTTCTGCGTCCTGGGCTGAGGATTTTACTGATATTTTTCTGTTTAGTGACAGTAAGTCTTGGGGCAATGCTGCTGTTATCCTCATTTTATTGAGGAGACTGAGTATTGGAAGGGTGAGGAATTTGCGGGGTGCCACACAGCTAGCAAGCGGCAGAGCTGTGCCTCAGTAGCCAGGCCAGAACCACTCCGCCGCCCTGCCTCCTGCGCCTGGGCAGCCGTGCCTCCATGCTGTCTGCTGGCGAGCAGGGCCTGCGTCCGCAGAGTGGGGGCCCGTCAGGGGTGGACAGAGAAGCGGAAGTATCTTAGGCCCGACTGGCCCAGAGGACTTGTGCACCTGCACCGAGCCAAGGAAGCTATATTTCCAGATGTCATTCCTAGATGGTTTAATCGATCTGCCAAGTATTTATTGGAGCCATGGCCCAGCAGAGGAGGCTGGCGGCCAGCCAAGGCCTCTGGTATTGATGAAGGCCATCAACTCCGTGTGACTCCGTCGACATAGCCATTACGCTAACTGCTGGTTCCCAAGAGTTCCTTTTTTTAAAAAAAGATTTATTTAATTTTATCATTATTATTTTTTTTAACTTGTTACGG